TCGTGTCTTGGGGGTTGGGTCTCCGGTCCTCCACAGTCACTATTAAATATTCCATTGGAGAAATCTTGTATATACACGCATGCTCATACAGTACTATATTACTCTGTTTTTGATGGTGAACTGGATCTTTGGGGTGAACTAATCTTTGTCGTAACGTGTTTTGAGGTTTGAAAGCCACTGGGACGTCATGTTTAGAGAATAAACATCTCAGTTTCTCTGAAACTCCCRCCACATAYGGARTGACGACTGGTTTGGGTCTGGGTTTAGGGTCTTCATTTTCACCTGGTTGTTGGTTCGAATCCTGTTTGGGTTTCTTTACTTTCAGAAAAGCCCAGTTAGGCTAACAGCACTGCTCCAGGGCCTGTCTTGTATATGACTTCTCTTTCTCCCTGGCTTCTGTGTTTGTGGGGACACTCTGTGGTACAGAGTTCTGATGACTCCTAACTTGTGTTCCAGTGGGTGATGGGAATCAAAATGCAAATACTGGTCTGTATGGGTGGGTTTGCGATGCACATCAGTTTCTAACCGTCCTCCATCCGAAACTGACACATCACATTTCTGGAACGCCAACCTGTCATCTTCACATTTTCTCATGTGAACTTTATATATTTATCCACAGAGCTGATGTGATCAGTGAAATGTTGGACTTCCTGGGATTTAATTTTAACCCAGGTGTCGTCAACATATCTGAACCAATGGCTCAGTGGTGTCCCTGTAAAGGACATCAGAGCTCTCTTTTCCACTTCCTCCATGTACAGGTTTACAACAATAGGAGAAACTGGGGATCCCATAGCACACCCATGTTTCTGCCTATAGTATTGCCTTCCATATGTGAAATAGGTTGATTCCAGGCACAGTTTCAGAAGATGACACAGTTTTTCTGTGTTTTTCTTCACAGTGGTGTGAAGTGCCTCATTTGTATTTAAATAGACTGCACCACAACAAGTTGCTCTCAGATGCACTTTAGAAAAGAGGTGAAAGAGGGGCTTGTGGAGCTACAATAGGAAGGAATTCAGACCAAAGCATTGCAGTCTCAACGGCATGATTACACCTCTTAAGCCCCAAGGGGTTTTCTTGAAGTTTGTGCTGTGGTGGACATAGAAATGTTTTTAAAGACTTTTTAGCCGTGATTCTGACATTTCCACAGATACCACACATCTCTATGTTTAGCTAAAAGAAAATAGATTATTAAAAGTAGGAAAAAAAATTAATTCTGCCCCCACTGGCAGGGCCATGGGGCTTAAGAGGTGAAAAGTGAAAAAGGACTTAAAAATGTCTCATTGAAAGGCACTCATTGAAACATCATGAAGTCAAAAGAAATGAAAACGTGAGAAACAAAGTTTATTGTCCAGTAATTTTTTCGATTAATCAATGAATCAGAAAACAAAACAATTTTTTTTTTATTTTGACCTCTTTATTCCAAAATAGAAACTTTGGACAGAAATAGAAAATCACACAAAAACATTTTGCTGTTTGAGAATTCTGTTACTATAATATTAAATTGTAATGCATAAATAAATATTTGTCAAATAGCTTCAGTAAAAAAATAAATCTACACAAAATTATACACAAATGTGTGCCATAACCTGAAAGTCTCTTCATATTTTCTCTCCATGAGCTTTGTAAAATGTGTCCTTGAGAGAAGAGTGTAACCTGAAATAATAGTGTGAACTATTATATTGAAGTCTTTATGTTTGACCATAGACAGTCTCATGCCAGTGACGATCATGTTAAGAATATTTTCATTTAAGGCAGCTGCTTATTATAATGATTCAATAAATGCCTTGTTTTGTTTACAGTATTATGTTAAGGTAAGTGAGCAAGATAGGTGTCTTTTTTATTTTGATATTGTTTAAGTAGTAAGTATTCTAGTCAAATCAGCACAAAAAGTCATTTTTGCTGTTATTTTACATAGATCTACAGTAATTATCTGTAGATCGATAACACCTTTTCTGAACTTTTCCATGATGTTTTGAAAACTGCAGATGATTTACTTGTAAATGTTGTTCTGACCCTGCAGGTGCTCTGTGTGAGGAGATTGAAGTCTTCTGTCAATGGTGTGGATGATGGCGACCCAAGCGCCCCGCGAACTGAGAAAACCACAGCCCAGGACTGCATCCTGCTCTCCCCTCGTGACGAGCTCTACCACGACCCTCAGAGCAGCCAGGTAAAACCTCTGTGGGGGTCTTCTTCTTCTTTAGGGGTCACCACAGTGGATCATTTGCCTCCATTTCACCCTATTTCTCCTGACACACAAATCCTCTGCACATCCTCCTTCACTTCACATATTAAAAATAAAAATAAATACATTAAGCTGTTTTTTTGTGGTAGACCAGAGAGGAACAGACATTAAAAATAATATTTTATAAACAGTAAAGGTATGTGTGGCTGAAACAAGACTCATTCAGTGATGCAAATAGACAAAACAAAACCATACGTCTGCATTCTTAATGAGTCTCTTCTGTATTTAATTAATAATCTATTTTTTTATTAATCTATAAAATCATCCAATTGGAGGTGTTTTTTCAGTGGTGACACTATTTGAAAATAATTTGTTTTAAACCAAACAAAGACTTTTGACTCCATTTAAAGGACGACAATAAGGCAGGAAAAAAGATTTAACTTTGTTTTTGCAAATTGTCCAAAAATGAAAACATGAACAGTTTTATAATTGGTCTGGGAGAGACTCCATCTATGCTCCAACTCCAGGTTCAGGATTATAAAAAAACAACAATTTCCTCCTATACTGTAAGTCACACTGTTGGAGCTTGAAGCAGTATGACTGCTCAGATATCTGGATTTTGTTGTTGTTCTCAGAATAAGTTCTGCTTCTTTCTCTCTGCTCTTCTTGATTTAAAGAAGATATCGAATGAGAAATACATAAAAAAAGAAGCTGCAAAATAAAAAATAAGCATTTTCTGATCTAGACAAAAACCTGTTTTGTTTAGTTTAAGAACACACACAGCTGAACGCTGGGTGCCAAACTGGGAGAAACCAGTGTACTTTGAGTGAGTGCAGAGCTGAGATTTGATGAAGCTGGAAGATTCTGAACCTGAGATGGACCATAACCATCTAAGGGGGAATTTTTTTTATCTCTTTCTATTTTGATTACTGCCCGGCGGGGTCTGATAAGGCTATTTGTGATGGTGGCCACGCTGTACCAGGTTCCAGTTCTGCACAAACCTATCTGTAATGACCTCCAGGCCAGCTCTGATCCAGCTGGACTTTGGAGGTCCCGCACATCGAGACAGCTCACCTCCTGAGACAGACAAATGTCTCCAACTTTGGTGAGATAATGAACTGCACCTAATCAGGCATTACATGTCAGTGTTCGCAGAACAACCTGGTTAAAAAGGCCGAGACAAATTTGTTAAAATCCTTCTGACTTGCTGTAAGATAAAAGTTACTAAAAATAATCTGTCTCCGATCTTAACTCCATCTTTCTAAACTGACAAAACTTCTAGGTTTTAACCTGGGTCTCTTGTCAATTAATTAATAGCAGGAAATATTTCCTTTGGGGAAAATATATATTTTCATTCGATAAAGGTTTAAACATCCAGACTTTATCTTAACTTCAAGTCTAAACTAACTTTTGTCTTTAACTGTTTTATAAACCTTAGCGCTTGTCTTTATTGGTTTTTTTTTTTTACTGTTTTTAGTCATGATTCAATTAAATTGATTCTTGCTATATTTTTTGTAATAAATTACCACAAACGACAAAGCTGGTTCCTCATCTTTGAGTATTTTGGCCTGAGATAAGAATTTCCTGCATATCATACAAATCTCACATTTTGGTAAATATGACTGATTAAAAAGGGTGAATAAATATTGGTCAGTAAAGTGACCTGGTGCCCCAACTTTGTAAAATTGTAGTGCAGGACAGAAATAATTGTCACCCTTTTCTGTTTCTCTCCCAACAACTTGCTACATACAGTATATCTCTGTCAAGCACCTGGTGGCTGGGCATTCACCCATGGAGCCCGGCTGAGCACAGCCTGAAGAGGAGATGTGGTTCCCTCTTCCCATGGGCTAACCAACTGTGGGAGGGTCTGCTCTTATTCAGCAGCTCCTCTGACTTGTGGGGTCCCCCAAGGGTCCATTTTAGGTCCACTTCTTTTTAATCATTATATGTTGCCTTTGGGGTCCATTTTCAGTAAGCAAAACATCACTTACCATTGTTTTGCTGATGATATCCAGGTCTATATGCCCATTAAGTTGAACAGGGACGCTCCATTGGAACCACTCCTCAGCGGTCTGAATGATATAAAAACCTGGCTAAAACTAAACTTTCTGAATTTAAATGAGAGTAAAACTGAAGTAATCACTTTTGGTAAAGTAAATTCAGATGACATTGGCCCTTTATTTTCATACAGCCATTCTACTGTCAAGAATCTGGGTTTTCTCTTTGACGGTGCCTTTAAATTGGCTAAACAGATTAATTCGGTTGTAAAATCAAGTTTTTTCCAATTAAGACTGATTGCTAGGGTGAAATCGTATCTCCCCACTAAAGACCTTGAAAGGGTGATGCATGCTTTTATTACCACTCGCTTAAACTATTGTAATTCTTTGTATGCTGGCTTAGATAAATCACCTCTGCATCGCCTACAGACTGTCCAGAAAGCTGCAGCTCATCTTTTAACAGGTACTAAAAAGTATGAACACATAACCCCAGTCCTGGCTTCTCTCCATTGGCTTCCTGTTCACCTGAGAAATGATTTTAAGATTTTATTGATGGCTTTTAAAGTTTTTAATGGTCTGGCCCCATCATATTCATGTGATCTTCTTAACATCTACACTCCAGTCAGAGCACTCAGGTCTACCAACCAGTTCCTGTTAGATGTTCCTAGATCCAAACTGAAATCTGGAGGTGACCGGGCCTTTGCAATAGCTGCTCCAAAGCTGTGGAACAGTTTACCTCTTAATATTCAGTCAGCAGAGACTGATGAGGCCTTTAAATCTTTGCTGAAGACCCATTTATTTTCTTTGGCTTATGTTTAAGATTTGGAGGTTCAGTTAGAGCTTTTTTCAAATACAGCGGGTAAAATAAGTATTGAACACGCCACCATTTTTCTCAGTAAATATATTACTAGAGGTGCTAATGACATGAAATTTTCACCAGATGTCGGTAACAACCCAAGTGATCCATACATACAAAGAAATCAAACCATAAATGTCCAGAAATGAAGTTATTTGTAATAATGTGGAATGGCACAGGGAAAAAGTATTGAACACATGAAGAAAGGGAGGTGTAAAAAGGCATGGAAAGCCAAGACACCAGCTGAACTCTCTCAGTAATTAGAAAGCAAGCCTGCCCCTTGTCAGTGCAAGTTAATATCAGCTGGTTCAGTCCCAAATGATGGCCAGGTATCACACAAGAACCATCTGATGATGGGTAAAAGTAAAGAGCTCTCTCAAGACCTTCACAACCTTATTGTTGCAAAGCATAATGATGGCATCGGTTACAGAAGAGTGTCTAAACTTCTGAAGGTTCCAGTGAGCACTGTTGGGGCCATAATTCAGAAGTGGAAAGAACATTATTTCACCATAAACCGACCACGACCAGGTGCTCCTCACAAGATTTCTGACAGAGGAGTGAAAAGAATGATCAGAAGAGTTGTCCAAGAGCCAAGGACCACTTGTGGAGAGCTTCAGAAAGACCTGGAATTAGCAGGTACGTTTGTTTCAAAGAAAACAATAAGTAATGCACTGAACCACCATGGCCTGTATGCACGCTCACCACGCAAGACTCCACTGCTGAAGAAACAGCATGTTGAAGCTCCTTTAAAGTTTGCTGCACAACATTTAAACAAGCCTGTGTAATACTGGGAGAATATAGTCTGGTCAGATGAGACCAACATTGAACTGTTTGGATGCCAGAATTCATTATTACAAATAACTTCATTTCTGGACATTTATGGTTTGATTTCTTTGTATGTATGGATCACTTGGGTTGTTACCAACATCTGGTGAAAATTTCATGTCATTAGCACCTCCAGTAATATATTTACTGAGAAAAATGTTGGCGTGTTCAATACTTATTTTACCCGCTATATTGTGTTTCTGTATTTGCATCCATTATTTGTTTGTTTTTTGATGTCTTAACTGAACTAGCAGATTGTAATCTCAAGCTTTCGCTGGAGCGGTTTGCAGCCGAGTGCGAGGCTGCCAGGGTGAGTGCCTCCAAATCTGAGACCATGGTCTTGAGCCTACTCCAGGTCGAGGGAGAAGTCCTGAATGGAGGAGTTTTAGTATCTTGGGGTTTACGAATGAGGGAAGAATGGATAGGGAGCCATCTGTCATGGTGAAGCAAGAACTGAGCCAAAAGGTGAAGCTCTCGATTTACTGTCGATCGATGTTCCTACCCCCCCATGATTATGAGCTTTGGATAGAACCAAAAGAACAAGGTTGCGGATGCAAGCAGCCGAAATGGGTTTCCTCTGCAAGGTGTCTGGGCTCTCCCTTAAGAGATGGTGAGAACCTCGGTCATCTGGGTGGGACTCAGAATAGAGCCCCTGCCACTAGCAGAACAAATCAGAGCCGAGTCGGAGGCGGGGCAAATGATCGGGCCCTTTATACCAAATAATAAAGCTCATGATAACATCATTTTATACAACACACATGTGCCTGCAGGGTTTACAAGCTTGACCAACATAAAACAACATCTTCAATTTAAACTTTGGCATTTAATTGTTCTTTTTGATTTACTGCATTCAACCCGTGTTTCTTCTTTTTCATGTCTTTTTCCTCTACTATCTGTAGGTCTCCCCCCACCCCACCAGTTCTCCCAGCCCCCACACACCTGCAGACTTGACCTGCTCCACACCCACGTACCAACGTCCCTCCACTGTCCCAGAAACCACAGCGGCCATGTTTAATTCTGGGGTAACTTCTAAGATGACTGCACCTGAACCCCCCACCATCACGGCTTTGACCACTCTCTCCTCCTCAGCCTCTGTAGTTCCACAGGATCTGCAGTAAAATGGACTCTGGATCTTATGTGTTTGAAGAAATGAGAAGAAGAATCCTGGGCAACAGAAGAAGCAGAAAAATCAAATTGACTGACAACAAAAGCTAAAACTGAGGTGAAAAAAAGAGTAACAGTGACCCCTAATTTGCATTACTTACATTCTGTCTCCGCTCCGCTCCACTGCGCAGGTCGCAGCTGTGCATTTCAAGTCCAGTTTACACTACCTCTGCTCCGCTCCGGTCCGACAGACGTGCAGGAAAGAGATCATGCGATAAATTCAGTGATAAGTGTGGAAGTCAGAGCAAAAAATAATTAATTCTGTGAAAGACGAACTCCAAAAACAGCTGAAAACAACGATATAAAGCCTTTTGGTATCTATGTTGAAATTGTCTCGCTGTCGGCTTTCTGAAACTTCTGATTTGTACACATATGCTTCATGCTACATGTTTCCATCTGCTTCCCAAACAGAACGATACATTCTGACAGCATTTGTGTAGAAATATATCCGTATATTTATTAATGTAGCCGTAATTTCGACATTATTTCGACAAATTATTTCCCCGAATAGTGTCTTGTTTTGAAAATACGTATGTTGTGCTCATTTCTTTTCCTGTTTGTGCGACGTAATCTTTAAAAATTGACTCCGGCGCAGCTCCGTCATCCAGCAAAAATAGGATCTGTTCTAATTTTGACGGATCGCCGTCCGCTCACCGCAGACATGCGCATCCAGTGTAAACACTCTCATTGATTATAATGGGTGTGTATTTGCTGCGGAGGTCAGACCAGAGCGGAGCGGAGCCGGAACGCATGTAGTGTAAATTGGGGGTAAGAGTATTTTTTAAAATGCAGATTACTCCTAGTTGACTGAAACAAGCTCCTGAATGTTTTTTCTGCCCTCTGACGTAAGTGCCTTTTCATTATGACTCCTAAGCTAAGACATATTCATCCAAACAATAAATGTCAACTTTATGTTTAATGGCTCTAACAGATTGTAACAACCACAGTGCTTACTAAACAAGAACTGCCTTTCCATTTTATTTAAATTCTATGTTGTTTTTATAATTGATACATCTTTCAAATTAGTGTTTTAAAAGATGTGTTTTTGTAATAGAGCTTTACAGTAATAGTACAGATCCTTTGAAGTGCGACTCTGTGGAATGGTGACACACAAAGGATATATGTTGTAGATAGCTCTCAATGTCAGATTGAAGAAATTGAGTTGAATTCTGAACAAATTGAAAATCTACCAACCAGTCAAAATGAGTGAATATTTGCAAAAGGTTTATAGATTTGAACATTGATTATCTTGCCTTTGTAGTGTATACAGCTGACTACAGGTTGAAAAAGATTTGCAAAGCGTCACATTCTGTTTTTATTTAGGTTTTACACAACATCAGAACTTCAGAATGGTGGATGTAAAAAACGTCATAGCCACAAATTCAAGCATCATTGTTTCACTTTTTATTGCATACTTATTTCAGCAGAAATATTTATACCATTCCCATCAACATAAAGATTGATGAAGGTGTTTCATTAACTTTGCACACTAGGGAGGGATTTTACTCCCAATGTAAATGACTCACGTACTCATCCTCCCAACTTACTAACTGGCTGTCATTTTGTTGTCATAGTGTAACAGGAAACTAAACGTATTAAAAATGCATAGCAAACAAAAATCAACACCTGAAAATGAGCATCTTAAGTCTATTTTTTATTTTATTGTAAAGAAAATGTACCATATATTTACTTTGAGTGGCAGGACTTTAAAGCTCTACTGGAGCCACTAGGGGGCATTTATCTTTTGTGGTTTCAACTTCCAGCTTTTGGCTGGATAATATTAATTAAGTTATCTTAGGCTGCACCCAGTGCTACAGCTTTCTGCTGTCATCACTGTATCCACAAAATTATTTTGCAAAGAACGGTGTAAAGGTTTATGAAACAAGGTTTGCATGAACTGCCATATTTGAGATCAGAGTTATTTTAAGACAGTAGAGCTTTTTAGATTTTAAACCTGTTCAGATGTTAGCTCATCTGTCTGCTCAGAATTAAGCATTTTCTCTGCACTGAGATTATTCTAAAAGCTATCTACAGCAGGTAAGATATTTATTGACTATAATCATCTCACAGAAACCCACTTCTCTTGTAAACTGTGGATGACGGAACTTCTATTAAGTATGTAAAGTTTGTTTGATTTGTGTGTAATTTTAGAAAAAGCTGCCTCGCTGTTTCTCAGTAAATGTAATCTGTCGGCAGCAGTGAACACAGCACCTCAGACCTTTCTCTACGTATTCCACCTACACTGTGTGTTTATTCTTGTGAGTATGTGTGTGTGTGTGTTAATCTGTGGCTTGTCTGCACAGCATTTGCTATGCTTTCTATTTAAAAGAGCCATGATTCTGGTCTACAGTACTGACAGTATTCTGCTTCAAGTGTCTTTATGTGCTTTACTCAGACTGTTGCTAAACGTTGGATGTAACATTTGCATTTATATGCAAATAAGTACCTTTGGCCTTTGCAATCATGATCCCACTTAAGCCTTTATGTAATATATATATCTGAGGGGATCATAGGAGTCACAGAACATACTTGTATATTGTAGGTTTGTGTGTTATTTAAAGTTACTTACAGCTTGGCAACATCAGTTCTTTAGGGTGCATCATGGTTAAATGCTAGGGGGAAAGATTTTGTCAAAGAACTTCTATATAAATTAAAAAAATTCAAACTTACCTTTTTATTGTGCCTGTTTTTGTATTAGTACCTCTGTGCTGTTTATATCATCATTTCTGAATATATTTATTAAATGATAGTCACACAATTATTAGCTTGTATGTGAATTTGTAAAACCTGTCAGATGAGTTGTGCTTCTCCAGTCACCTTTGTGTTTTGAGAGGCAACAAGTGTTATTAGTGGCACATCACAGCTGATTGGATCAGCTTAACAAAGTGGAGAAAATGACTAATGGAGCCAAATGAAAGAAGCTGGAAAAAAAATCAGTGCTGATCATCATAAAATGGTTAAAAAAAACACTACTTGATATTCACTGTGGTTAAGATGTACCTGTGCTTTATTTATGTCTTCAGAATAAAATGGTGAAATTAAAAACTGGTCACATCTTTTTGTTGTTGCACAAACAGAAATTTTTTTTCTACCAAGCCTGTGAAAGAAAAAGCATGCTGTAAAACAAACAGCAGCTCAAAGATTAACACTTTCAACACGTAGTTCGTGTACAACCTGATTCAGTGAGGCATTTTAAAATCCATTAAAGAATAAAAAACTATTATAGCTGCCTGCATGTGTTTTATTTAGCACATTGTTAAAATGTCAGCTGCAACAATCAATATTTTTCACCTATGATGGGTCTGTAGATTGTTTTTATACAAACAATTACAAGTTCACGAGTTTCACTCATGCACACGTTGGTTTTTCTATCCTTGTGGGGACTTTGCATTGACTTCCATTCATTTCCCAGTCATTTCTATGAAGCATAACCCTGAACCTTCACCCTAAAATTAACCACCCCAGTACATACCTGACCCTAATTCTAGACTCACTTCAAACCTTATCGTCCTAAACCTAACTCCCCACACAAAATCACTGGTGGGGACCAAGCATCGGTCCCTGTAAGGAGCATTGAGTCCCCACAAGGTTGTGTTTGTCTGGAAAATTGTCCCAATGATGTAGAAAATACTTGTCCACCCACACACACACACAAACGCAAATAATGATGATGATGCCTTTATTGTCATTGTACGGAGCACAATGAAATTACATTTAAGAACACCCATTCAAAAAGACACACACATGGCAAAAACATGGGAGAAACAGGTGAACAGGTCATGCGCCAACCAGCAGGGGTCGCGCTACCTTTAAAAGAAAAACGAAATACAACAGAAGGTTAGATAAGAGAAAAAATTAAAAACTTCATATTATATCAACGAAATATTATACACTATGGTGTTTATGGGAAAAAACTCAACAAGCAAGAGCACATTTATTAGCCAGAGGAGTAAATGAGTTTAGAGGAAATTAGTCCGAATGATCCAGCCTCCCAAAAGAAAAATCCCATAGTTCAGCCAAAGTTCAGAATACTGGTGCTGAATTGTTCGTTCTGTGCAGCTCCAGGTTGACCTTCAGGAAATCAGATTAAACGGAGTGAGAGAGGGAGAGGTGGGGGTAGGAGCCTCAAATCGATGTAAACACCAGGAGAAATTTGATCCACCGTCTTCACATGGGGGGGGGGGGCACAAATCTGTAATCAGCTGTTTGGGAACAAGATGTCCACTGGGACATTTCAAGGTGGCGAATCCAATCAGACAAATATCCATCCATACATCCATCCATTTTCTGTACACACTTCTTCCTTTTCAGGGTTGCGTGGGTCACTGGTGCCCATATCCAGCAGTCACAGTGCGAGGGGCGGGGTACACCCTGGACAGGTCGCAAGTCCATCACAGGGCCACACATAGAGACAAACAAGACAAACAACCATTCACTCTCTCACTCACACCTAGGGACAATTTAGAGTTATCAATTAACCTAACAGTCATGTTTTTGGTCTGTGGGAGGAAGCCGGAGTACCCGGAGAGAACCCACGCATGCACGGAGAGAACATGCAAACTCTACCCAGAAAGGTCCCCCGACCGGGATTTGAACCGGTGACCTTCTTGCTAAGAGGCATCAGCTCTACCAACTGAGCCACCGTGCCACCATCAGACAAATAATGTGGACAAATTCCGCCAAGCCGAGCTATCACCTTCTCCAAGGTCAATTCCATCTGGCCAGCAAAGTCCAGGAACCACAGCTGGCCCGCGACCCTCAATAGAACCGCTTGCCGACCTTGTCCCAGCTCGCTCAAGGCAAAAATCTGAGTGCTGAAAGAACAGCAATCCTTCATATTGGTCAGGCAGCCAGGAAATGGCCTGAATAGCCACCGATGTTGTTTTGTAGAAAGACCAGAAGCCAATCTGTAGAATCCAGTGATCAGAATCCAAATATATATATACATCTATCCAGAACAGAGAAGAACAGAGGTCCCACCTTTGACTTGTCCTCCCATGGAAAAAATAAAAAAATGGATCCAAAAATTTATTAAGAGACCATGCCAAATCCATAAAAATAAATCTATAATTTTCGGTTTCGGATGAAAAACGTACAGTACATTCTGTATACTGTAAACTTACTGTATACTGTATACATACTGTACATACTGTAGATACATTCTGATCCTAAATACATACT